CGTGCCCCCCCCAGCAATGATTGCAGCACAGTATCTGTACTGTTTATTGTCCAACTCCCCCCCCCCCCAATTAAATACTCTCTACAGGAATTCGCTGTGTTGTGATTGCTTATCCCCAGGGCCTAGAAAAATGCAAGCACATAGTAAGTACACAATAAACATTAGAGTCAGCAAGACAATGAATTGGAACAATGGTCACATAGCTTTTTGAGGTGATTCAAAGCGACCACTTAACGCAGCCAAAGTCAAGCCAGTCTTCTGTACTTCAGAGTATGGAAGGCACCTTTGGGGACACCTGAAGTGTTTAGCCACATTCATTTATTTAGTCATGCTGTTAAGATTTTTGGAAATATATTGTTCTAACAGGCTTTACAAGAAAATGACAACACCCACCCAGAAAGATTTCTGAAAGACAGAGCCCATCTTATAAAGACAATGTTCATTACTGGTTTCTGAGAACTACACAAGGTGAAGGCTTATCCCTGAGATAAGGCGGTATGGAATATTCTCCTGAAAACATGTGTTTGCTTACCTCAGAACCTAAAAGTACAATCCTGGGCTAGAGCTTTTTACAGACCACATGCAAGTTGATATACATCCACTAAAAGCTCAGAAGTCAAACAGGATGGATTCATTGTAATATTTTATAAATATTTTAAAGTAAGCAGATTTAGAGTTTATTAACTCTCATTAAACAAAAATTGTTTGAAATCCGTTGAGAAGGAAGGCACCATTTTTCTGTGTCTTTAGTACTTAGAAATGTTTAGAGATAAGCATGTATTTAAATCCCTGGGATGTGTAAAATTGTATTCAACAGCATTTTTATACAGGGCATTAAGAATACTTAAAGTGTTTGTCTTCTGCGTTAATTTTAATTACACTCCACTGGACTCACAATGCTTTGAAATGCTTTACAAAATGCCCCCAAGATCTTTTTATTAATCATAATACAAGCACCACCAAACTCAAACGCGGGTTCTTCTAACTCTGGGTAGCGGCAGCTTGCCTGCGAGCGCCCTCTTCTGTCTCAAAAGTATACCACACGTTTCATTACGCGGAATTCACAGCAATTCTGGGTAGTACAACATGGGCTTTTCAGGGAAATGTCAACACACACAATCATATTATTTAAATATGCTGTCCTCCCACCTGAGGTTTGTCAGGCTGTTCTGGAGCAGGGAGGAGGGGAAGATGAGGGGAAAGTTGCAACCCCAGATGTTAATGGCGATTTGCATTTCATTCTCGGGAAATCTCTGAGAAATAAACTTTAATCTTTTAAAAGATGGAGCAACTAACTAGTCTAATCCGTTTTCCTTTTCCTTATAGACAGAACATGATTTTAAAGGCAGAATAGTACCTGCAGCTTTTATGTAAGGCATTCTTTGCAACTCAACTATTTGCTTTCTGATTAGCAATGCTGTCTTGCTTTAAAAATTAATATACTATCAAAATATTAGGATGCCAGTTCTAAGCAGGAACGTATTAATACAATTATAATCAGAAAAATCTCTTGTTTCATGTAAACCAGGAAAATATGCAGGGAATGAGGTTGAGCCCCATGAAATTGCCATCGAGAATGGTTAAATATTGACCACTACACATCAAATACACCCAGCCCTGTGCTTTGGAAGCCTGGGTAAAAGCATTAAGAGGGTCTGAGAGAGACACAGCACAAGCTAGCGGAATCAGGGTGTGTCTACACACAAAGCGGGCAGGGTAGTCTGGGTGCAGTTGAGACAAAACAGGAAAGAATCGATTGATGGGAATTTGAGGAATTTGATTACAAATGTAATCAGTTTATGCCATTTGATTCTTTTGTTGTTCCTGCAGAACTAGAGCCAAAGCCTGTTCATTCCAGTAGTGGCTAACACGGTGCCCAATGACCTGGCTACCATCAAGTTTATTTCCTGATGCAGTTTTGAGATTTAACTTCTCTAGCTAGATAAAAATTGAATTTCAACACATGCAGCTTTCTTACAAAAAAGGCAGGTAGAGAGGTTGAGGTTGTTAAGTTGGTTTTAGCTGACACATTCTCCCATCTTTTATGGCCTCCCCCCGCCCCAACAAACACCTTATCTGAAATATATTCTGTACAATTGCATAAAAATCATTTTCTAAACTGAAAAAAAATTGCATTAAATGAATATCATTTCTATAATACTAGTTGCCAATGTTTGAAAATTCCTTAGAATTGTCCTGTGGACAAAGTGTGTATGGCTGTCAGGAAAAAATGGGAAAGACTTTTGACAGCAGGTGCCCTATTAGCTCATTTTTTCAGGTTACCAACACCTTTCGTTTTATTTTCCAACTCTGTAAATTTTAGAAAACAGATATTAATGCACATGATCTTTGTCTATACAAATGCAAATAAATTGTGTGGGAGCAGGGTAAATTGATTATTGATTATTGCCCTATGGACAGATCCATTTTACATCTATTTGTGAATTGATTTCAGAATATTGCCTATAACTGTCTCTGCTCTTTGAATCGTCCTTGAAACCAGCTGTAAAATCTTACCAGTTCCCTCATTAGCTAATGAGTTAACTAAAACCTTGGGCACATACTCCTATTATTTCTTTACGAGAGTAATAACTAGACCCACTTTTAAAAAATCATCCTTTAATGTCACAGATTGTAGTTTGACGGTGTTATTTTTCCAGGATGTGCCAAGATGTCACGTTACGTGACTCCTTAATAATGAAGCCACATACCTTTGCCTGAGAGAGAGTCAATTGTTTAAGATCCTTGAAATTGATTTCATACCTTAAAAAGAAAAAAAAATAGCCCAGACCTTGCAAAAAAAAAGATATAAGTCCATCACACAACAAAAACCATTTGAAATACATCTTTAATTTTAAAAAATCAATATGCAATCTACAAAATACTTTGTTACATGATTATTAAGGCTCAATCTGTTCTCTATTTGTATTGATATGACATAAAAATCATATTTTGAATAAGACATAATAATACTTAGTTATTATTAAGGAAGGCCTTCTAACTGAATTTATAAGAAAAAGGGCTGTATCATAAGTACAGCTCCAGAATGAAGAAAACTAAAACGCTATAACTGTCTAATGTATAAATCAGGTCAAAAATTCCAGCCTTCATTTATGGGCTGGAAAGGAATTATTTTTATACATCTTTAATGGATCAACTATTTGTATTCCCATAGAAAAATGAAATGTACTTAAATTCAGACCTGTACGACAGATGAGGCAACCATCAAGCCATGAATTCATTGACATGGTTAATATGATCCTTTGACAAGTAAGGCAACCAGATCAGAACAAGGAGAGTAGAACAACTAGTCTCAGACTGGTAAACTCCTTGGAACTCCACCACGGTGTCTATCGAACAACTGACCCCCAAACGGTCAAACTGATCAAGGGTGGCTCGAAAATACTTAAATTAAAATGTTAGAAAGAAAGGAGTAGTGGTCTCCTTCACTCACATCCTTCCTCCCTTCCCAACCTCAAAAGCAGGGGTTTTGCGGTTGTTTTAAAGATTATCATTTACTTTCTGGCGAAGGTAATTTCACTTCTTAATTTGTAATTCTAAGTGAATCCTACCAGATTTTTCACTTAGAGCACCATGGTCACAAATGACCTTCTGCCATTTCTGAGGTCAGAAGAATTGTATTAAAAAGCCTCTCCTCTCTTCACAGAATGTTAATTTAATGCTAAGTAATGAATATTTAAGGATCCTAATAGATGTGCAAATTAACAATTATGCTGTAGCACCCCGCTGTTCATGCTATCAACCTCTGCATTGCTGCAGAAACTCAATTTGGGCTTCAGTCAGCCTTTTGTTACTCTATTTTCAACACTGAATCTTGAGATGCTCCTGAAGGCTGGATGGCAGCTGGGTAAATGACCCGAGCCATGAGGTACCCACCAATACCGGGCAACCTGTGGAACATGAGGGTTGATTCACTGGACCCTTTGCTGGAATTATTTGGAGGTGTAAATATTTATTAAGTTCATCTGAAGCAGGCTCTGAGTTCCTTATGGGCAGGATGCCATAAAACAGATTTAAAAGGAATGGCAGTTGTTAACCCAGCTGACTTCCTTAGGATCATGGAGCAGCATGGGGTCTAGCCTGACTCCATATTTGTTCTGAGCAGGACTGAAGTCACTCCAGAACGTGCCACACCAAATGATGAGGAAAGATAGTGGAATTTTTTTTTTTCTGAATGACACACACACAGATTCCATTTGCTACTGCATCCACAGTAAGTCTCAAACACATGACACCACGAGCAATGCATCAAGTGAAAAAGAGCAAGACCAATTCATTTGAACAGCCAACTTTTGCATCCTTTGTCTTTAAGGTAAAATAACGAAGAGCAATAAAATCCACTGACTGATACGGACCATTAGATGTTTGTTTTCATCTGTTTTTGAACAGATTAAAATGAATGTAAATACAACATTAAATAAAACATATGACATCAAGTCTGTGGGCCAACAAATAAATGCTGTTTGGAAGAACATTGTGTCATCAGCTTTGACTCAAAACAAATCTGGTAAATAGAGAAATATGCCTCCTAATCACATTTAAGATTCAATACAAATTGAAGGTGTGTTAATACCCCAAGGAGGACTTTGTTTTTCCAGACTAAAAAATATGTAGAATATAGAATTCATAAATTTTAAGTCTTACCTTTCACTGTAAATATTGAAAGAATATTATAAACAGAATTATAACTGCTAATGCCATTGGCTTTTTATTAGAAACCAAGCATTTACCTGACTTTGAAGAATAGAAACGTCACCTCTTAAAAATCCAGGTAAAATAATCTAGTGTCTTTCATTTTCTTTATCTTTTAAAGAGAAATACTCTAAAGTAAGCAGAATTAGCATAAATAGCATGATAGCAGAACCAGCATAAAATAATCATAATATGATTTAGACTTCTACTCAAGAGAGGCTTGTGTTAATTACAAATAATACTTTTATCAAAAATACATTCTTAGAGTCTATACTTTTGGGAGATAATATTCATGAACTTTAAAAATTCATCTCTCATATACATAAATATTTTAACTAGTGTCCAACACCATTCCATTCTGAAAGGAATCTCTCCAAGCAAAAGGCGGTATGTCTTAGTGACTTGTACTAAAATATGTATATCCACAGAAATAGCTTCTTTGCAACACACACCAGAACACAAATACAATTTGAAAATGCTAACACCATGGGGGAAAGGCAGGTACCAAATACAGTCGATGATTACTCACCAATGTGGTAAGAGCACAGGAAGATAAATTACTCAAAATTACAGATACTTCCACATCTCCATTTTAGCCTGTGGTTTCGGCATCATCCCACACCTAGCCACATTCCAGAGATGAGCAAGAAGAAAGACTGAGCATTTCAGTTTATGTCTCCCTTGACTGCCTCGCCCTCCAGTAGAGGTGCCAACAGAGCAAGAAGAAATGGGGACCAGAAGACGATAAATATGGCCCCCAGGTGATCCAGAGTGCAAAACACTCAGCCACTGAGTCATTAAAAATCCAAAACCCTTTCGCCAAGCTGGCTGTCCAGTAACACATTAAAACTTTGAGTTTTAATGGGAAGCAAAAACATCATACAAATGTTAGACACATTTTAGATGAAACCCCTGGGGCACAAACATATCAAAAGCATAAAATATTGATTGTTCGGTTTCAGGTCTTCACTTCTCGAAACATGGCCACTGGACCTGTCCTAAGCCCTCTATTCAGAAGTCATTTCCAGTACACAGAAGCAGATCTTTGTGTGGTTTCTGTGAATTACATATTTGAAAAGTGGGTCATCATTTACTCTTGCTACTCCTACTGAGTTACACAGTCACCAGTTTTATCTGGGTCTTCTCCATCGATTTTAATCCTCTTCTTTTCTATTTCGACCTGTATGCAAAAGCAAAACATGACAGCATTAACCAACACGGCACTAACACTGCTCAGTCCTACTGCGCGCATGACGCAAGGACTGAAGCCACCTCATCCTCTGGACACAGACGCAGCGCCCCCACTGTCTCATGCTAGCTCCTAGTGAGGCAGCCTGCTCTCCTGTTGGTCAACAGAGCCCCCCAAATCCTTCCCTCTCGTGTCAAGTCTGGAAGAGGACTGAAACTCTCCTCCCTTCTAAGTCAGACAGAGGGTTTATAAGATATACACAGAATACATGTATTGATAAGACATTTAGGGTCTTGGCTAGACATGTGATCAATTATACCCCCAAGCATCATATCTGTAGCCTTTGGCCCTCGTGAGATTTATAACCCACCCCAAATCATCTCATTAAGATGAACTAATTTACAAGCTAGTAAACCAGCTGGACAGAACCATCTACCTGCTCCTCATCTTTTTCATCTCATCTCAAATGTCACCTCCTCACAGAGGCCCTGCTGGGCGCCACATGAAATAAGCAAGCCCTCCATCATCCTCTCTCTTGTTCCCCTATTTTATCCTCTTAGAATCCATCCCTCTTGGAAACTCTTTATCTGTTTACAAATTATTTTTTGTTCCCACGCTAGAAGGTATGCTTCGCGAGGACAAGGACCTGTCTCTTGTTCACATTTGTGTCTCCAGTGTCCAGGGTGGTACCTGGCACTTTGAAATTGCTCAATAAATACGTATGGAATGGAAAGTAACATTTTGAAACTGAATGTCACCAAGTGACGAGCAATTAGGAAACGCTATTCAAGCGGCAGAGACTTGATTATGTAATTTTGAGCTGTCCTCTAAAACAAGAGGAAACTGGAACAAGCCATGCATAGGAAAATAGGTATAAATGAATTCTCCATTGTACTTGACCCGCATTTCAGTCACATGTAATGCTTATATTCCTAGTGTGACCGGTCAGGGTCTCCAAGAAGCAGTCTCTGAGATGGAGACTGGTGTGCAGAAAGTGTACTGGGGAGTGCTGTCGGGGTCCAAGCCTGTGGGGGAAGAAAGGGGAGGGAAGGAAGCACATGGAAGGAGTTGGGCTGCAATGCAGTCACTGGAAAGGCTTCAGCTGATCCCCAGGGTGAGCTGGAGCTAGGAGGGCTGCAGAGTTACCCCCAGCTGAAGCAAGAGGGTCTTGATACACCTGCATCCAAGGAAGGGGGTGTGACGTGGGGCAAGGCCGCTTTCTTCAGCAGGGCAATTCCCAGCTGCTGGGAGAGTTAAGTCCTTTGGTCCCAAAGAGGCTGCACACAAGGGCACTCACCCATCATTAATTTTACTAATAGGGAAAAAAAAATCACCGGACCCAAACACATAGGCTTATAAACAGATGGTCCAAAATAAAGAAAAAAAATCCCTGGCTTATACTACTATGTTATAAAACCACCAGTTGGTGTCAATGATGTCGTACATAATCACACCATTTCAAGATACTGTGGGAAATCTGTGCCAGAGGTTATCTCTATATTTATTAACTTCGAAGATGAGAAGGAAAAGCAAGTTTAGAAATAGGTGTAAGTGTATGTCACTCTAACTCATCTAGCATAAAAATGCAGAAGAGCTGATGGTGAACATTTAAAATTGTTGTAATAGAATAACTCAGCATTTCCCAAAGGGTGCTCCACAGAATACTATTCCAGAAGATATTGATAGGTGTTCTACATACACGTGCCCATAGAGACAAGATTCTGTAATCAATGAGTTGGGAGAAACTAGTTAAGTCTAACAAGTTTCCTTATTGCAGAACTTCTCAGAGCCTTTATTTAGCATTAACTTAGTGCACAGCATTCCCCAACTTATTTTCTTCTTGGATCACTATATGTCTCCCAGAGAACACACCTCGAGAAATGCCATTCTAACATAATTTTTATTATAAAGATGCTTCTGAAATGTGAATTCATTTTTAATGCCCTGTTTTTCACTGAGAGCAGAATTAAGTGGCACCGTGTGCTCAGGCTCCGGATTTCTAGAACTGAGAGAAACTTGGCTCACTGGTGACCATCAAGTTTCCATGACTGGGCCCTTTTCTAGGTCAAAGAAACACACCTATATATACACATACACGGTCACTGAAGAGGGCAAAACAGAGATCTAAAGCCCAATCAGGTCACAGCGCCAGAAACTTCAACTTGAACCAAAGGGTTTTGGGATATACCTGAATGTTGTAGCAAGCTCGCTGATGAACATGTTTCTGTGGCTGGACATCACTCTCCACCCCCAGAGACTTGACCTCTGTCCTCGAGGCACAGGTGTCCAGCATTCCAAACTGAACAGTAGCAAATGGATACCAATCAGAGGGAATTTCTTGGTCTGATCCAAGTTCTAGTTTGTATGACAAGCAATGGGGATGATCAGGACCTTGAAGAAAAGAAATCAAATGGTCAAAGTATTTTAATGGCCACTGAGCATTTCTCTTAAACATAAGTTCTCGTCCCTCTCCTTAATAAACAATTCCATTAGCACTGTGGCAGTGTAAGCTCTGTTTAAACAACATATCATCAAAATTCACAATTTTGCACCAACTAGGGGAAATCTATCTGTATTTTTTAAGTACTAGCTTTAAAATAAGCACAAGTTCATTATTATATATATGACATATTAACTCCTAAAACGTTTTTAATTAAGAGTATGTTAACTTTCTTTAATTAAATAGGGTAATATTTGTATTAAGCATCATTAATTGGCTATAATGTACATAGGATGTGTTAGAAAAACCTATCCCTTAAGTAGACTGAATAAGCTCTTACAATAATTCTTACCTTATTAATTTCCTTACCATTCTGTCTCCTGATAGATAATGCAAAGGTAAACTTCAGCCCAAATTGGGTCACATTATTAAAAATTCTAATTTTTTAAGTGAAACTTATTAAAATTTTATTACATTTTAGAAACTACTCTAGGTCAAGAATTCTTTCTTCAGTAGAACGGATGATTTCTTACTGCTGTAATTCTTGCTCACCCCCCAACCCCAAAAGCTTTGCCTGGAACAGATGTACAGTGTAGAGATGGGCATATTGCTTTCAGTGTTTTAATCTAATATTTGTTTCCACTTAATTCAATTTGCCACGTACTGAGCATCTACTCTATGCTAAGCCAGGCTCGGTGCCAGACCCAGGGATATTGGATATATACAAAGATTTTAAGTGGGGTCTTATAACATGTGTGTGCACGTGCACATGTTACAATGGAGTAAAAAATGTTTCCAATGCAACCACTGTAGTAAGTCTACAAAGTTCCATGACTCTGTTGCATTGTCCACAGCATCTACACATCTAATGCAGCCATCTTTATTTAAATAAATGTATGAGATGACAGTTATTTGAAAAGCCAGATTAAATTATTTTACCACTGACATACCTCGAGAAAGAACATTTCCATCAGAATATAGCTTTAGGCACAAAAAAACAAGAGTTTAGAGGATTTCACTTAATTCTTAAAAGATAAATTGTCTTTCACTCCTTACAACCTGTTCCTTGTAGAGAGACTAATAGAACTCTAAGGCTTAAGAAGTCATCAATCAATTAACCAACAGATGCTCATTAGCCATCTCCCTCACTTACACAGAGGGCAGGACAGCAGTGGCCTCTGAGCTGCTCTAAGCTACCCAGATCACTGGAGGTAAGTGATAATACACACACACACACACACACACACACACACACACAGGGTATTCCACAATCCATTACCCTTTCTTAGTCTTCTGTCTGCAGCAAGGAGGCAGTAAATTTATTTAAACATTATTCAGGCACTCCTAAGTTCTTTATGGCACAGTGGCTGACACAGGACTCAGATGGCCCAGAGTCCAATCCCAACTCTGCTATTTAATGGCTATGTGATCCTAGGCAAGTTCCTTGATGTCTCTGAGCCTCCATTTCCTCATCTGAAATTGGGAGTGATGATGTTGGCGATGCTAACATGAATCTTACAGGATCATCGTGAGGACTCAACCAACCAGCTGGCCCACGCAGAGCACTAGAACCGTGGTATACTTAGACTGGCACAGAGTGCTGGCTGTAATTTTGCAAAGTGCTATTTGATTATAAATCCACCATTATTCTTTAATTACTAGAATTTTGATAATGGACACTCTCAGAGCTGAAAATGATATTGGAGAAGGTCTAAGTTGATATTCCCATTTTAAAGGAAAGAATTTTTTGGAACTTTTGCAACCAAACTACTCAAGTTGAAGATAGAGTAATAATCCAAAAATGTTAGAAATAAAACTTTTTCTGCTTTTCTAAAAAATTGGCAAAAAGGAGAGCGTATTTCCCTTCAGGCTTTCTGACCTATTTTTCCTGGCTTTTAAAAACTCTAAATACTCTACAATCTCTAGCCATATACTCTCCACTTTAGACTTTTGACCTCCGAGCAAAGAGGTATTGCGTATGTTCTTAGCACAGTGTCTGGCACATTTAAGGCTCAATGGATATTGGTCAATCACGTTATTTAATCTCAGTGGCTTCCAGCAGGGGGCACTCTTGGGCTTTGGTAATTGCTACTCTCTCAGCGTTCTTAGGACTGGGAAGGCAAGTCACAAATTCTTTGGTGGAGTTCACATCTGGTCCTTCTTGAACCAAAATATTTCACATCTCAAGGTGAATTGTTGAGAGCTTGGAGGGAAAGAATGGTAGGAGGATGACACAAGTGGGGAGAGAGCCACTAGTGTGCTAATGACAGCAATGAAAAAAAGCAGGCTTTATCTAAAAATTGGTAACATGGGAAGGTAGAGATAGATACAGTTATTAATTGGCCCTCCACCACTCTCACTCCCCCCCCTTTTTTGTGTGTGTGTGGCTAACCAGTGTTCTCATCTGTCCCTCTCTCCCCCCACCCCCACCCCCACCCCCGAGAAAGTTTCCTCTGTTTCTCTGTTGTCATTCACACTTTAGTGCAAATAAGCTATCTGAGCTACCTGCCCAACACCAACCTTTGCTGTAAAATGAAAGACTTGCCCACGTTATTAAAGGAATATTAAACATCGGCATGCTGGTAAAAGAGACATTTAAGGGGCCAATAGCCCTTTCCACCTCCTTCGAAATCACATGGAAGTGAAAAAGAAAGGTTAATCCTGATCTCAAAAATCCACAGGAAGGGGGTGCCTGGGTGGCTCAGTCAGCTAAGCAACCCACTTTTGATCTCAGCTCAGGTGTTGATTTCAGGGTGGTGAGTAAAAAAGAAAAAAATCCACAGGAGGAAAGGCGTAACATTTTTTTAAAAATGTACACAGTAGACGAGTTCATATATTGTCTTTCAGGTTCCATTTTTTAAATATTTTCTCTCTAACAGTACCGGTTTTTCAGAAACTTGCTTAAGAAGAGTAATGGTTAAAAAAGATTTTATTTATTTATTTATTTGAGGGGAGGGTGCAGGAGGAGAGGGAAAAAGAATCTCCAGCAGACTCCGAGCTGAGCGCGGAGCCCCACTCAGGGCTCAATCTCACGACCCTGAGATCATGACCTGAGCCAAAATCAAGAGGTGGACGCTTAACTGAGCCAGCCAGGTGCCCCCAAAAAGGGCAATGTTTTCAAAACTTTTTAAAAATAATCCTGTTCTCTAAACACCCAATCGATTTAAGAATTGTATAGAAAAATAGAGATGCATTCAAAGAAACCGCTCCTCCACGCGTGGTCCGTGGGCCAGCAGCACTGGCATCACCTGAGCAGCGTGGGAAGCCCTTCGGGGGTGGTGGGGGCTCACCTGCTCAATCAGTCTACATTTTCAAAGGTGGTTTCAAGCGCACCCACAAGTTTAAGCAGCACTGCATTAGGATGAAGATTTCTTCTCTGCCCTGACCTTACTCCTTCTACGCTTCTCCTCCGGAGGCAAACTGCCAGGCACCCTCTCCCTCTTCGCGTTACCCTCCCCGCCCACAGTGGGGAAACCACGGGACAGCCACGCAAGCCCAGGTGTCCTAGCCCAGCCTCTCCCTGACCGCCACCGCCCCCCCCCCCCCGGCTCCACCTAACACAGCCCTCTGCCTTCTGTCTCGGCCCCCTTTTGGCCCACAGATCTGCTCTGAACAAAGCATCTTTGATCCCAAAGGATTTATTCTGTGCATTATCACCATATAATTGCCTGGAATGCTTGTAAAACATCATTCTGTGCAGACCTGGTGCTGTGACTGTCTTCCAGAAGAATTCCTGAAGGCCAGCCTCCCTGGAAATATCCACTCTTGTAATCGTTCTTAGCGAGCTCAGCTGCTAGTAAATAGGGGTGGGAAGCAGTGAGAGCTCGGAGACGTGGGGTACACAGAGCGGGGAGGGATGACCTGTGCCTAGGGGACCATAACAGGCTTCACAGCAGAGCTCCCAGGTCCGGAGTTCTCAACCCTGGCTGTGTAGGAGAGCCTCTTACAAACACCAAGACATGGGCCTCACCCCACAGAGTCTGATTGGTGGGGATGGGGCCGAAACATGGGGATGTTTTTAAAGCTCTAATGATTCTAAGGACTCCAACATGCTGCCGGGGCTAGGAAACAGATTTCTAAAGGAGCAGTGAGAGGATCCCAAGCTATCTCAGCTCATGGCACTATGGCCCACCCGTTCACCAAAGCCAGAGCCCCCGAACTCCTTGCAGCCCTTCCGTCCCGTGCCCACAGGTAATCTGTCCTTGTCTTGAGGGCACCTCCTCTGAGTTTCCTCACCATCCTTCCCTCCCTTCTTAGTGCTCCCACTGCCACTGGTCTTGCTTATTATCAGGCCCCCTCTTCTCCCAAGTCTCTGCACGTCTATACTCCTGAATCTCTCCTCTGCGACGTATGCCTAACTTCCTAAAACAAGGGATGATTCTGTCACAGTTGTGCCTGAAAACACTCCGGAAGCCCAGTAGTCCCACAAAGTCCATACCCCAAAGCATGGCTGACAACGTCCCCCATGTGCTGGTTCATTCTCTTTCCATGCTCTCGGTCCCAACACTTAACTACGATCCCCCACCTACAGGCCTGTTTCTGCTGTTTCTATCCCTGGTAGAATCCTACTGATTCTTCCACACCAAGCTGAACCATCACCTCTTGGGCCAAGACTTCCAGAGTGCCCCCTGCCGTTTATCACTCCTTTCTCTGGAATCCCAACTCTATGTGCGTGTTCCTGCCTGGAACATAGCACAATTCCACAGCGCCTTCGCGTGCTTGCTGCCAGATCTGCCTCCCCTGCTAGGCTGCTAGGTTTCTGGAGGGCGGGGAGCAGGGTTGCATCTGTGTCTCCCGTGCACCAAACGCAGAGCCTGTATCTACGTGAAATTTAGCGGTGTTTGCAGAGTGAATGAGTGAGCCCTCTTCTCGATAAATTCTTGGTGACTGAGTCAATTAACTATACCATTAGTTCTGGGAAAATACAGTGTTATAAACAGGATCATTTTCACAAGAACATTTCCATGTTGTTCCCCTTCCAAAATTAGAAAAGAATAGTTTGTATGGGCTCTCGGTTTGGAAAACAAGCATGGTTGCTCTGATCGGCTCTCACAGGAGTGCCTGCTCTGAGGCAGAGCAACTGGAACGGGCCTCTTTGCAAGCCTGTAGCCCTGTTCCTTCAACCCCACCAGGACAAGCCAGCAGGATGAGCCCCTTGTGCTCCTCTCCAAAGTATAAGCAGGAGTCGGGTGACCACCCAGACATCAGGGGACATTTATTGATTGAGGAGATTACGGTAGGCATTCCAGCCTGTCTTCCTCTCTTTCCCTTTGTGTTTAGCAAAATTAAAGGCAATAATATGATTTCTATAATCCCTCTCACCTAAAAGTAGCACAGATAACTTTCAGAATAGATCATTTGGAACTCTGCACGCAAAACCTCAAAACTTGTTTCCCTGGGACGAAGATAACCTGAGAATGGTTTTAGCTTGCTTCTCCAAAAAAGTTATAAAAGAAGGCAGGGAACATTACCTCTGTGGATTGAATCACGGGAGATATTCCCGCCACGCTGGAGTTGACCAGGAGGCACCCTCAGAAGCCATCTGTGTGACCAGGCCACCCCACCACCACCTTGCCCTGCCTTGAGCCTGAGCTGTCCTTGCCATTCCTTGGAGCTAGAACCCTACTAATATAAATCAAGAGAACGCTGCAGAGCAGAATTTGGCATCAACTGAGGAGTGGGGGCGGTGTCGAGGAGGACTGCTGTGCAGTGGCTTTCCTTCTGCACGAGGGCCTGGGACTCCTCAGCCACCCAGCTGTGTCTCTCGCCTGCTGGACCCTGTCCTTTGCCCAGGCTACAGTCAGCAGACAGATGTTAAGTTAGCAAACCGCAAGTCAGACAGGGTGGTCCTGGACCAAGGGCGTGATTCATGCTACCTCTCAAGTCCAATATAGTTTAGGGTTTGCTCTTCCTTCTCCAGAACATGCCAAAGCCTACAGAGCAGTGTCCCTCAACCACACATTAGGTTCATCTGGCGAGCTCTCAAAACATACCGGTGCTTAGGTCCCTCCCCGAGACATTCTGATGTAATTGGCATGGAACAGAGCCTGAACATCAAAAATTATCCAACAGCTCTCAGGCTGTCCTAACATACTGTCAAGTTTGAGAAATACTGCAATAGGTCCACCCCCATAAAAATGCTTCCTCTTAAGTCCACAGCCTGAAGGGTCCTAAGATGAAATTAAATTTCCCTGAAGGACTAGACCAGCTGTGAACTATTTAGAAGCAAGGATGGGATCTTATTCATCTTTAGCCCCAGCACCTGATGTGGTACTTGGTTTACAGTAAGTGCTCAATGAAGGTTTGATTGAATGAGTGACTGCATCAACTCAGATCCCCAAATCTGCCCTCCATAACCTGGTGTTCTGCTAGGAACAACTGTACTGGGCGCCTGGGTGGCTCAGTGGGTTAAGCCTCTCCCTTCGGCTCAGGTCATGATCCTGGAGTCCTGGGATCGAGCCCCACATCGGGCTCCCTGCTCAGCAGGGAGCCTGCTTCTCTCTCTCCCTCTGCTGCTCCCCCTGCTTTTTCTCTCTCTCTGTCAAATAAATAAATAAATAAAATCTTTAAAAAAAAATAAAAATAACTGTACTAAAACAGGGAGCAGCCTTAATTTCAAAATCTGCTTTTTTGCTCATTACAGACACCCAAGACTGAGTTACTATTCTAACATAAACGTGGTGCCAGGACTGTCTTTTTAAAGTTCTGAACTTCTAGATTCATTGTTTTCTTTGCAAACATTTTGAAAGTTAACTGAATTTTTAATGTTTGGGTTGTATCTACTTAATTCTGAAATAACTAGTCAAGATGGCCAAATTAAATCAGCTAAAGAAATCAATTTGGGTAAAAATGAAAGGCAGTCTTATTTCAAAGAGCAGGGAGCAAAACCTAAGGAGAACGTGGTACTGGCTGAGAATACAAAAAAGTTCAGGTATATTCATGGATGAGAGATCTTTAAAAGTTAATTAGGGAATCTAAGCTCTGTGAGTTAAGAGCTTAGCTTAGCTTAGCTCCCTAAGTTTTAACATTTCAGGTTGGTGGCTGATGTCAAAAAGTACAACGAGGCAATCTTCCCTCAGTGCCACCATCCACAAGAAAATCTTAGCTTAGGGTTATTTTTTTATGATATTAAAAAAAAATTTTTTTTAAGTTAAACTTAATCTGGTAGAAATAGGCAGAGAGGACAAACTAAATCCGCCATTTGACTAAATGTTGCCCCTCCCACCGGGGCAACGCTAGCATGGCCCCCAGGGACTGAAATGATCCTGTCTCTCAGCCTGGTTTCAACCCAAGGAGGAGGGTGGAAACACTGAAGCTACTTCGCAAGAAAGCCAACTTGGGTGTTGAATATTTACTTGAATTTTTATCAGGAAGCCGGTCTATCTTCCATACAACGGCCCGGTAGGCACTCTCATATTTTGCTGACCCCACAGTGACCTGTATAACAGGTTCAGATTCAGGTTCGTGTAAATTCCCCAGACATGCCCGGCGGTTCATTTTGGCTTTCAGGGACTTCTGCCTCTGGAGGTTCATGGTCCAGAGGGCCTTGATCCACTGTGACGGGACAGGAAAGTGTATCATGATGTTGTCACAGGACCTCAAGGAACTGGCATAGGGGGCCATGTTGACAAAGGCCTGAAGCTCCACATACGCCCCCTGGACAACTACCACAGACTTGAGGGAAAAGGGAAGATCCTCCCCGTTATACAAAGTCTTAAAACGCATCAGCTCAAACCGGCAGGCATCCAGCGGTACAAACTTAATGGTTCTTGATTGCTCGAATTCTTGTGCTTTCACACACTTATGAAAATGATGGTCAAGAATATCAATCCCCTTCTTTTCTGGGTCTTCTTCAAAATAGCGTTCATTTCGCTTCTGCAGCTCAAGGTCATTCAAGGTCAAAAAGCATTCTGTGTTCCCATTCACAAAGCAGAGGCAACAGAGTTGAGTTATGACAGTGCTTTCAACCAATTTTCCTTCTTCTTTAGTGATTTTCCCCCAGAAGTTGTCCACAATTTCCAGGGAAATTTCTTGTTCCTCATAGTTCTTTTTTGGTTTTGAAACACCTGGCAGCTTTGTCAGCTCCTCCTCCACAGTAGTCAGGAAGTCGAGGAAATCGTGGTACTCTGTGGACCCTAACTTCAGCATCTGGTCAATGTCTGGTTCATGAACTACTTCTGTCTTAGAGTGGTATTTCCTTTTTTCTGTGTAAGACACATGTTCAATCTTCACAGTATGGATTTTTCCTGCCACACTAAAGTTCTCAACTTTGGGTTCAGAAAGCCTGCAATGTGGATCGAGCTGTAACTCCTTAAATGGTTTTTCTAACCCCTTCTCATAATACATTTGCAAAATTCCACCAGGTAAGACTTTCAGAAAAATTGGTCCCCACTGACGGGAAGACATCATGTTCTTCTTCTCAGGAATTCTCAACATGAAAGACCATCCAGGTTTTGGCTGACTCCTGAAAAGCGTGTGGGGGACAAAGGAAGAGGCAGTGTCTTTAGCATACAAACACTGCATAGACAAATTTCCATAGGAGTCTTGGTCCTCAGCTGATTGGAGATGTTCAAGCTTCTCACAGATGTAGTTAAGTGAACCCTGATTTAAGCTTTTTTGATCGAGAGGCACCTCTTTGTCTCTTGATGGGTACATCTTTCTGCTTCCTGAAGGGTCAAAGGCAAACTGGGAAGCACCGCCTTCATCTTTCCAAAATGGACTTGAAAAAGCACAGTCCTCCCGAAAATACTGAAACTTGGGGGCATCACTTTGAAACCCTAGGCTTTCAGCCTGGGGAGGGCCAACCTCATCTGGAAGACCCACTCTGGGAGCTGGATGTGTACATGAGTGGTCCCTGGGTAAGGAAGCATGGGATGAACAGAATGGTTTAGGAGACAATAAGGAAGAGCCTGCTTCTGGTGGTGTAAGTGGACTGTTTGAAGATGATTCTGGGATAGGATAAAGCATATGAGTCCCTGCTTTGGGGACACCAGGAAAACCTGGGAAGTCCTTGGTAGGTGTAGAAAGAGGAGAGTTACTTGGAGGTCCTGGACTAAAGTAAAAGTCTATGATGGGAGAGGAGAGGGGGGTACTGTTGGCAGAGGAAGATCCACTGGGAAATTCTTTAGCACCAGAAAGGTTCAGCTTAAGTCCATTGGGCCTACAGATGCCTTGATTCTCCAGAGGTAAATTCTTCGACTTCTGAGAAGACTGAAGAGCAGGGTCATCATCAAATGTGACCCAGTTGCCTGGGTTTGTAGAACACATCTTTGGAATCAGATTGTGGTCTTGTCTATGAATCAGGTATGTTGTATCTGTTAAAGGAGAAAGAGACAAGAAGAATATTAAATGAGGAGGGGGAGGAAATTCAAGTGACTTTAGTTCTGAGAAATACTTAGATTAAAAAACAAAAAAAAACAAAAAACAGGGGGCGCCTGGTTGGCTCAGCTGGTAGAGCATGAGACTCTTGATCTTGGAGTCATGGGTTCAAGCCCCATGTTGGACATACAGCTTACTTAAAAAATAAAATAAAATAAAGTGTTGTCACAAATAGAAGTTCAAAATTAAAAAAATAAAAATACAAGCAACCAGATTTACAGGTTAACTGAGTTCAAAGAAATGCTTAAGAATTATAACACTTCTGATGATTAAATGGATTAACAACAACAAAAAAAACAAGATCTAACCGTACACTGTGTACTAGAGACTCTTTTCAGATTTAAGGACAAACTTAGGCTGAAAGTGAAAGGAAGTAAAAAGATATTCTATGCAAACAGAAACGAGAGCAGGCAGGGGATGGCCATACTCTACCAGGCTAAATAGATTCTACGTCAAAAGCTGTCACAAGAGACAAAGCAGGACATTATATAATGATAAAAGGGTCAGCTCACCAGGAAGATATAACAATTACAAGTATATATAAAGCCAACATCAGAGCACCCAAATATATGAAACAAACATTAAAAAACTGAAGAGAGTTACAGACAGCAACATAATAATATTAGAGTTTCAATACCCCACTTTGAATAACAGATAGAACATCCAGATAAAAGATCAATAAGGAAACAAAGTACTTGAACAACACACTAGACTAGACAGACATTCCACACAACAGCAGCAGGATACATGTTCTTCACAAGCATACACAGAATATCCCCCAGGATAGATCACATGTTAGGTCACAAAACAAGTCTTAACAAATTTAAGAAGGCTGAAATCATACCAAGTATCTTTTCTGACCACAATAGAATGAAACTGGAAATCAACAGGAGAAGGAAAACTGGAAAATTCACAAATGTAGCAACTGAACGAAATATAACAACCAATAGGCCAAAGAAGAAATCAAAAGGGAAGTGAGAAAATATTTTGGGGTAAGCAAAGTGAAAACACAACATACCAAAACTTATGGATGTAGCAAAAGCAGCAGACAGAATAGAGTTTATAGCGGTAAACACAGGAAGGAAGGAAGGAAGGAAGGAAGGGAGGGAGGGAGGGAGGGAGGAAGGAAGGAAGGAAGGAAGGAGGGAAGGAAAGAAAAATCAAATAAACAACCTAACTTTAAAGCTCAAAGAACTAGAGAAAGAAAAACAAACTAAGCCCAAAGTTAGGAGAAGAAAGAAAGAATAAACATTAGGGCAGAAACAAATGAAAAAGAGAATATAAAACAGAAAAGAAGGGAAACTAAGAGTTGGTTTGTTTTAAAAGATCAATAAAACTGACAAGCCTTTAGCTGGACTGAGAAAAAAAGAGAAAATACTCAAAACCAGAAATGCAAGATGTGACATTAAACATATGTCACAGAAATAAAATAATGATTATAAGTGACCACTATGAACAATTACATGCCAGCAAGTTGGATAACCTAGAAGAAATGGACAAATTCCTAGAAACATACAATCCACCCCGACTGAATCATAAAGGAATAGGAAATCTGAACAGACCTATAATTAGCAAGGAGATTGAATTGGTAGTCAAAACCTCCCAAAAAATAAAAGCTCAGGCCCAGATGTTTTCACTGGAGAACTCTACCAAACATTTAAAGAAAAATTAATACCAATCCTACTGAAGCTCTTCCAAAAAACTGAAGAGGCGGGAACACTTCCAAACTCATTTTGTAAGCCCAGCATTACTCTGATACCAAAGCTAAAGATACTATAAGCAAAGAAAAATACTATATCCCTGATGAATACAAATGCATAAATCCTCAATAAAATACTAGCAGATCAACTTCAACAACAGATTAAAAGGATCATACATCATTATCAAGTGGCATTTATTCCTGGGATTCAAGGACAGTTCAACATATGAAAATCAATCAAAGTGATATAGCACATCAACAGAACAAAGGATAAATATCACATGATCATCTCAATAGACCTAGAAAAAGCACCTGACAAAACTCAACACTTTTTCATGATAAGAAACCAGCCAACAAACTAAGAAGAAGGAAAACCTCAAAATAATAATAAAGGCCATCTATGAAAAGCCCATAATTAACCTCAGACTCAACAGTGAAAAACTAAAAGCTTATCCTCTAAGATCAGACACAAGGCAAGGATGTTCACTCTTTTTTTTTTTAAAGATTTTGTTTATTTATTTGACAGAGAGAGACAAAGCGAGAGAAGGAATACAAGCAGGGGGAGTGGGAGAGGGAGAAGCAGGCTTCCCGCGGAGCAGGGAGCCCGATGTGGGGCTTGATCCCAGGACGCTGGGATCATGACCTGAGCCAATGGCAGACACTCAACAACTGAGCCACCCGGGCACCCCAAGGATGTTCACTCTTACTGCTTCTATTCAACATAGTCCTGGAAGTCCTAACAAGTGCAATTAGGCAAGAAAAAGAAATAAAAGGCATCCAAATCAGAAAGGAAGAAGTTACATTTTGTCTATTTACAGATATGATCTTATCATAGAAAACCCTAAACACACATACACAGTTAGAAGTAATACACAATTCAGCGAAGTCGCAGGATACAAAATCAACAAACAAAAATCAATTGCATTTCTATACATAAACAATTAACAATCCAAAAAGCAAATTAAGAAAACAATCCCATGTACAATAGCATCAAAAAGAATAAAATATTTAGAAATAAATTTAACACTGAAATAAATTACACTGAGAAGTAATTGCTGGAAGAAATTAAAGAAGACACAAATAAAAAGATATCCCACATTCATAGATTGGAAGACATAATATTGTTTAAAAGTCCATACTGCCCAAGACAATCTACAGATTCAGTGCAGTCCCTACCAAAGTCCCAATGACATTTTTTGTAGAAACAGAAAAAACAATCCAAAAATTCACATGGAATCTCAAAGGTCTCTGAATACCCAAAATAACCTGGAGAAAGATAAACAAAGGTGGTGGTCTCATACGGTCTGACTTTAAAACATATTACAAAGCTATGGTACTCAAAACAGTATGGTACTGGCATAAAGGCATATAGCCCAAAGGAACAGAATATTAAGCCCAGAAATAAGCTCACACACATGGCCAAATGATCCTCAACAAGGATGCCAAGATTATACAATGGGGAAAGGATAGTGTCTTCAACAAGCTGTGTTGGGAAAACTGGATATCCATATGCCAAAAAAATGACATTGGACCCTTATCTTACACCATACACAAAAATCAACTATAAATGGATTAAAGACTTAAACATAAGACCTGAAACTATAAAACTCCTATAAGAAAACACAGGGGAAAAGCTTGATGACATTGGTCTTGGCAATGATTTCTTGGAGAGGATACCAAAAGCACAAGCAACAAAAGCAAAAATAGACAAATCAGACTACATCAGACTCAAAATCTACACAGCAAAGGAAACAATACAGTGATGAGGCAACCTACAGAATGAGAGAAAATATTTGCAAACCATGTATCTGATAAGGGTTTAATATTCAAAATACATAAGGAACTCCTGCTCTATAGCAAAAAAACAAACAAATAAACCAATTTAAAAATGGGCAACGGACTTGAATAGATGTTTCTCCAAAGAAGACATACAAATGGACAACAGGTATATGAAATGATGCTCAACATCATTAATCAGCAAGGAAGTGCAAATCAAGACCACAATATCACCTTATACCTGTTAGGACGGTCATTACCAAAAAAACCCAAAAGAAAAGAAAGGCAAAAAACAAACAAACAAACAAACAAAAATAACAAGTGCTGACAAGGATGTGGAGAAATTAGAACCCTTGTGCGCTGTTGGTGGGAATGTAAAATGAAAAACAATATAGACTTTCCTCAAAAAAATTTTTAAATAGAACTACCATGTATATGATCTAGCAATCCCACTTCAGGAATTGTATCCAAAAAAATTAAAAACAGGATCTCAAAGAGATATCTGCACTCTCTTCTTCCTTTCAGCATTATTTACAATAGCCAAGAGGTGGAAACAACCCAAATGTCCATTATCTGATGAACAGGTGAAGAAAATGTGGTATATGGACATATGGTGAATCTCATTCAGGCTTTATAAAGGAAAGACATTCTGGCACAGGCTACAACGTAAATGAACCTTAAGAGCATTATGCTAAGTGAAATAAGCCAGTCACAAAAACACAAGTACTATGTGATTCCACTTACATGAGGTATCTACAGTAGTCAAATGCATATAAGCAGAAAAGAGAATGGTGGGGCTGGGTGGCGGGAAGGGCAGAGGGAAAAGAGGTGTGGCTCTTAGTGGGTATAGAGGTTTAGTCGTGCAAGTTGAAAGAGTTCTAGAAATCTGCTGTAAAATAGTGTGCATATAGTTGACAATAGTGTACTGTATACTTAAAAATTTGTTGAGGGCAAAAAAAATTGTTAAAAACTTGTTATTTTTTTACCACAATTTTAAAAAACTGCAAAAAAATTTCTAAAAATTTAAAAATCGCAACACTTTTTAGTCAATTCAGGAAGTCTTTATTTGAATGACTGTGTAGTGAGAACTTGCTAGTGTTGTAGAAAATACAGAAGATAAATTTATAATGAACTTCTTAAAACCCATTGATTGCTCCCCAAATACATAAGGCTTATTGTTTAGAAGCATTTTCAAATTCATGACCTAATTTATCAAAACAACCCTGGGATGTGTATATCGTCATTTCTATTTCATAACTGAGATTACTTGGGTTTAGAGTCATTGCCTAAAGCTGCCCAACTGGTAAGAGAACTAGATTTTTTTTCTTAAACAGCTTTATTAAGATACAATTCACACACGTAAAATTCATCCTTTTAAAAAAAATGACAATTCAGTAGGGATTGTTTAGTGTTTAGTATATTCAGAG